TATATCAATCTTTGACATTGTGAAAAATAAATGTAAGAGAATTTATAATCTCAAACAGTATATTCAATTTAACCAAAATGTTTACATCTAACCAATGTTATGCAAATAAATATAGGAGAATTTCTATATCTAAAAGAAAAATTGTATTTAATTATATCGTAGATGTATCATATAAAGTATTTTTTAAGGTTTTTGATACATCAAATATTTTTTATGATAGATTAATCTAGTATTTTAATCCCGCGTTTGCCGCGGGTCAAAAATGAAATAAAAGAAAGAATCATACAAACATATCGAGGGATTTGACTAAATTATTATTGGGCTTTAACAGCCCAGTTTATGATTGCGTGCGTGCGACATAAATTTCAGAACGATTTATGATTTTTGGTAGCCCAAATTATTATTGGGCTTTAGCAGCCCAGTTTGATATTACGCGGCAAAACAATAGATTATTGACTTGTTAAGTATTTCAGTACGAAACTTTAACCTAAAAATCCGTCGGATTCCAAAGTCGGCGATGGTGAAAAGAGGTCGGAGCGGCGGCGTTTCAAATCGGCGATTAGTACACTTAGTTAACGATTCATATGAGAAGGGATTAAAGGCGGAGGAGATCGCCGATGAGATCTTGGAGGACCGTGAATGGGCTCGATCGAGTCGTCACATAGTCTTGCTTAATGTCAACAAAATCCTCCGATCAAGAAATTTTGGGAAAAATGACGAAGAGAAGAGCAATAAAAAGAAGACAAAACCGTCTCCGAGAGCTGCTTCACCGTCTGGTTCGTCGTGGTCGGAAGCTTTCGAAGGAAACGGAAATGTATCAGACGATAATGGTAAGTTCGATTTGACGAATGATAATCTTAGGGCTTCGTATGCTAATTCTAGTAAACGAATTAAGGTTTCAGATGTGGAATTAGAGACACAGAACATGAAAGTTGTCGGAGGAAGAAGTAATGTAAGAAGAGGAGGAGATGATGAAGCTAAGACATTTAAGGATCTTGGTGGGTTAAAGGAAATTTTGGATGATCTAACTGTTTGTGTGAAAGTTCCATTGCTTTTTCCTCAAATACACGAGCGTCTTGGAGCAAAGCCGATTTCTGGTATTTTACTTCATGGTCCACCTGGTTGTGGCAAGTGCACACTGGCTCGAGCCATAGCTAATGAAACTAATGTTCCTTTTTATATGGTCTCTGCTTGTGAAGTTGTTTCTGGGATTTCTGGTGAATCCGAAGAGAATATCAGGAATCTCTTTTCGAAAGCGTATAGAACCGCTCCTTCGATTATATTTATCGATGAGATTGACGCAATTGGATCGAAGAGGGACAATCAGCAAAAGGGTATCGAGACTCGGATGGTGACACAGTTGATGAATTGTATGGATAAAGAGTATATGATTCTATAGGAAAAAGAGAGGAGAGTTTCTTCAGGTGGTGATGACATTTCGGGTTCTGAAACTAGCGGTCATGTTATAGTTATTGCAGCTACCAACAGGCCTGAAGCTCTTGATCCGGCTTTGAGGAGGTCGTTAAGATTCGACAAAGAGATCTATCTCGGTGTGCCAAATGAGAAAGCAAGAGCAGAGATTTTCTCTTTGATTACACGTAAATGTCGTCTTGAGATAGGTTTTGATACTGCAAGGATTGTTCGTCGGACTTCAGGATTTGTCGGATCAGATTTCAAACTTTTGGCTATGGAGGCTTTAAATGTGGCGACAAAGAGACTTTTGGATTCAAGAGCGTCAGAACTTTTAACCGACATTGATTCTTTGATGCATCATGAGCCATGCCCATTTCCAATAGAAGTGACTGAGAATATCTTTTACACTACCTCGGATTTCGAGGAAGCACTGAAAAAAGTTAAACCTTCGTTAGCAAGAGAAGGATTCTCTACTACTCCTAGGCAACGTGGGAAGATATTGGCGGTCTCGATCATCTAAGAAAAGAGTTCTATCGTCATGTAATCAAACCTTTAAAACCTCCCGAAGTGTGCGTGGGATTCGAGTTCTGTTCCGCGACTGGCTTTTTGCTTTATGGGCCACCAGGATGTGGTAAAACATTAGTTGCCAAAGCGGTAGCTAACGAAGCAGGAGCCAACTTTATCCACGTCGAGGGTCCGTCACTTATGAGCAAATACGTTGGAGATACCGAGAAAGCGATTAGGGAACTATTTAGCCGCGCAAGGATGTGTGCGCCGTGCATAAGGATGCATTGACAACAAAACGTGGAGGAGAAGGTGCTTGGGTTGTTGAACGACCATTGAATCAGTTGCTCATTGAATTAAGAGGTGGTCAAAACCGAGATGGTGTGATTGTGATTGGCGCAATGAATAGACCGGAAGTGCTAGATCCTGCTGTTACAAGACCAGGAAGGTTTGGGATACATCTCTATGTACCACTTCCAAACTCCGATCAACGAGGTTTGATTCTGAAATCTCTTGCGAGGAAGATTCCTTTAGACCCAAATGTTGATTTGGACGCTATTGCGAGAAGGAAGCGTTGTGAGAATCTTACTGGAGATGATCTTAGAGCTTTGGTTGAAGCAGCTGGTATGGCGGCTAGAGACGGTGAGAAAGGCTTGAACCGTGGGATCAAGATGGTTCATTTTGATGAAGCGTTCACTTGCTTCAAACCTTTTCTTACGAAAGAGCAAGTAAGAGAGTACGAGCAGAAATTCTCAGAGTTTCGAGGAGGCAGGTGAAGAGAAGAGCAAGACATCAAGTGACACAAGTTTTTTCACTTTCAACATATTTTTCTTAGTTTTCTATAACATTCTCAATTTCAGCACATAAAGTGCTATTGACTGCAATCTAGAGAGTTTTTCATATGAACTATCTAATTTTTTTTTGAATCCTCACATCAGAAACGTAATGGAAATAATCATACGTTGTAGCTATATTGCGATCTTACTTTTCGGATTTAACTTTCTTCCGGTTAGAGACAACTGATTTACAGAAACCGATCTTAACCCACATCATCCGTATTGGATCAAGAAGACAGAAAACAAATGTTCAAACACAGTTCTTTAAAGAATCTCCAGCACCCTGAAAGAAGAAGGAAGAGAGCACAAAATCCGCGATAAAGATTCCGACAAGAGACATGACAACTGCGGAAGTTGTGGATTCTCCGACACCTTTAGCACCTCCAGTAGTTGTTACTCCCCAAGAACAACTAATTACGGATATTATAGCTCCGAACACCTGAGATTTTATCATGGCACTAACAATGTCCCATGGTCTAAGCGCTCGATGAGCCGAGTCCATGATTATGTTAATGCTAATCCCGTAAACCGCATCAGAGAGTAGAGCGCTTGAAGCCATCCCAACAGTGAAACACATGAGCGTCAGAAATGGTAGAGCAAGACAAGAGGCGATGACTCTTGGTGTGATTAGATAATCAATTGGGTCAGCTCCTAAAACACGGAGGGTATCGGTTTGCTCTGAGACTTGCATTGTTCCTAGTTCAGCTGCAAACGCGCTTCCCATTCGTCCGGCAACAACGATTGATGTGATGACCGGACTTAGCTCTCTAGAGAAGGCTAGAGCCAAGACGCCTCCAATGGATCTGTTTAGACCTAGTCTAGTGAATTCTCTTACGAACTGGATTGTGAAAGCCATGCCAACAAATGTAGAAGTCAGAAGGCAAACTCCTAGAGATTTCGGTCCGGTTCTCTCCAACTGCTGAAGAGTGTTTCTCCAGTGAATCTTACCCTTTAAAATCCGGAGAACGACTTGTCCTGCAATGATTGGGACTGATAAACCTCTCCATAAGTATTTAGAAGGGGACCATTTGCTGAACGGAAGCTCGGCTTCTGGAGTTGGAGCGCTGTTTTCAGCGGAGGTTTCTTCCAACATAGACATGGATGGGTGACCGTCATTAGCATTCAAGCTCACATATAATCTTCTTTGCCGTATAAGATTTGAAATCCCAGAAGGCCGAGTTTTTCCAATAAACCCAACTTGACAAGGCTTTGGGGGTTTAATTCCGATCGAAGCATCACACCTTGGAAGAACTCTGCACAAGTTTTTTTTCAAGAATCCAATATCAAATCTTCGAATCAATCTGACAACGAAGCAAATGAGAAATCTTTATAAACTTGTGCCTACACAACTCGGAACACATTGCGAACTTATACAGAGCTCTTTTACGCAAACTCACACACATGTACATGCCCATTTCATATGCTTCTCTATTCACTACGATGCAAATGAAATGGTGGACCAGGGGAAAAGAAAGTAGGAACACATACCTATGAGGGAAACTCAAAGATTGATGGATACAACAAGTCTGCATCATTGTCGAATTCTTCTTTAGAAGCTTCACTGATACAGTTCCAGTTCTAAATTCGATACTCCGAGAGTCTTCAATTCAAGGCAACACGATTAGCCTGTCACATTAAGCAATAAGCAAGATTTAAGACGATAAGCCTGGAAGAAAGAAATGGCCATTTTAAAACATATTTGGAATAAACCCCTTGAAATCCCATAGGAAGCCCAGAAATCGATTTGAATTGGTTATTACAAAAACAAAATTTTTAGCAAGAAAATTATAAGACAATCGATAGCTAATACACAACAGATTCTGCATATATAATACACAGAGATCCAAATCTCTGCAGCAATTCCATTACCGAATCCTGAACAATCAATCAATCTCTGTAAGGCAGTCAATTTTCGAATCTAGTCTAACAACTTCACGACTATATACAGACTAATCTAATTGAAATTTTTGTTACAATAGAATGGGAACAAACAATCTTCTTACTTTGAGATCGACACAGACCTTGAAAAACAGTAACTACCACTAAAAAAGCAAAAAATTAGCACACAAAAGTAATAGATTGAAGAAAAAAAACATACTTTTAAAAACGAAACCAAGCTAGGAAGATCGAAGAAGGTTGCTTCAGAGGATTCATCGAGAGAGAAAGTAACACAGAGAACCAACAAGAACAACAAACACACCAAACACAGTCGCAAAAAGGA